AAAAAAAAAAAAAAAAAAACAATTCTATTAATTCAACAAATAATAAAAAAAAAAAAATTAACATGTTCCTAAATTCATCGCTACCAAACCAGGCCGTGCCTTCAAAACAGGAAAACTGAATCTAAAGAGAAATAGCAGAAGTTCAATTTGACCACGCACTGCATTTGAAAACCCTAAAGAAGTTGCTGGCGCTCAAATTTAAAGACTAAAAGAATATCATAATATTTGAACAAAATTTAAAAACTAGCTCGAGCTTACGCTTCAATTGCAGTGAGTATTTTCCAAACACAATCGCCAGAAGAAGAGTGATGGCGGGGGCTCTCTGTGAGTGTCAGCCAAACATTGCAAGCGGGAAAAGTATTTGTTGTCTGTAGATTAGGTTTTACAGAAGGGATGAGCACAAGTTTAGATAATTTTCTTTCCAACCCTCCAACTTTTACATAATTATTAAACTTTTATTTGCTCTTCATTAAAAACCCGACCCTAAATTATACACCCTCATATTCATTATAAATGCGCAGTTTTTTTTTTTTTTTTCAAACGTCAATTATATTAATAACTTAAAACTCAAAAGAGTACATCGAAGTGTCAAATGATACACTGGAACTAGAAGACTGGACCACCCCCCTTGTCAACATATACAAGAGGGTACAAACTCCATCAAGGAGGCGAACAAACACAAAACAAAACTCTAAAAAAGAGACACTAACTCCATGAAGGAGATAAAAGCAGACAAGCTGCACTAAAAGCAGACAAAGCTGCACTGAACGAAAGAAAATAACAAAATAAAGACAAAAACAAACACACACCTAATAAAAAAGATAGAATAAAACCTCCCCTAAACCTAACAGCTGAAACCCAAGCTCATTTGAACCGTCAACCAAGTCACACCCCAACAAAGAACACCCACCGAGCAAAAAACTAGGCTCCAAACCCGAAAACTGCGGTCACTCTACCGCCTAGACGAATTTTCGGCCCAGATCTGAACCCCGCAAACCATCATAGCCGGAGAAAAGAAGAAGAGCCATCACAAACCCACCGGAGGACTCAAAGGAAGAGATCGAGGAGACGAAAACCTGCAATCGAGCCGCCTGGCCCGAAGGACCTGCAGCCCGGATGAAATAGAGGCGCACGGGCCCGCGAGATGGGCTCTCCCAAGCCAAAATCAGTCTCCAAGAAGAGAATGGCAGCACAGATCGAGCCTTCAACTGGACGGACGAACTCCCGCGGCTGGGCCTTGCAAGAATGGCCGGCGACCTCACCGGAGGCGGGGGATAAACCGAGGAGCGAAAATCACCGCTGGCCAACCACCCTCATCACTCCTGGAGGCGGAAAAGGAGCACCCAGCCGCAACTTGGCCGGAACAGCCCGGTGACCTCAAGAATCGTGCCGCCGGAAGAGGGGGGGTTGCGATGAAATCAAATTTTTAGATCTCGGGGAGTTTTTTTTTTCGAATGGAGAGAGAAAAGTTGCGCAGTTATTAAGAATATTTTTTTTTTCCAACAATAACCCTCATTAATGAGGATAGAGATGAATATTTTGATAAAAGATGAATAGTGAATATTGAAAGACGTAATGTATTTATTAGCTAGATGAGGATAATAATGGAAAAATATGTACAAAATATCTAAAACGACATTTATTTTGTTAATAGTTGATAATACCAAAATAACATTTAAAAAGAATAGGAGGTAGTATACACTAATGTATCGATTCAAATGTGAAAAATCGACTTGAATACTACACGCACATCTCTAGACTAAAATCAGCCGATTAAGTAAGGGTATGATTAGATATAAAAAAAGTAAATCAAAATTTAAATTTAACTCAATTTTAACCTAACTCTATTATCCTTAATATTATCAATATAATTCAATAATATCAATCAATCGTTCTTACATACTACATCAACTTTAATTCTTCACTCACTCACAACTCACATAATTTTAACTAATCATGGCTTCTAATAATTTTTTTCATACTTTAAAATCATATCAATTTAATTATATTATTTTTAAATATAATTTTAATTTAAAATTAATTTTTTACTAACAACTAAGCTATATCATTTATTATAATTAACATTGATTAAAAGAAAATCAATAAAATCTATTATATCACACCATAAAGGATGATTTGAAGTAATATTAGTGTGCGATTTCATAAGCTAACTAATATGGAAATTATATATTTTTTTTATTATAGCAACAAACTCAACAAAATAACTGATTCTTATAATAAGGTCGGTGTGATATTATCACTGAAATAAATAATTTTTTTATTGACTTTTTTTTGTATTAAGGTTTTATCAAAGGTCACTAATTTGTCAAACGATATTTTATAATTTTAAAAAGAAAAACTATTCATTCATTCACTGAAGGGGGGATTTTTAGCATACATACGCTACATAGCTAAAACACGAAAACTAAAAACGGGAAAAACTAGAAACACGACTCTACACGCTTATTCACAACACTGCACCAAAAGCAAACTATCGCTTCTTCACTTCTTCCCCCGTTTCGAGGCAGCCTTCTTCGCCCCCGGCGACTTGATGGATTTCGGCTTCACAGCCTTAGCCGGAGCCTTCTTCTTGGGGGTCGACTTAGTTGAGGTCTTCGCCACCTTGGCCGGCTGCTTCTTCTCAGCCTTCTTGCTTTCCGGCGCCTTCCTCTTTGTCGCGGCATTGGCCTTCGCAGGGGGGGCCGCCTTGTCCTTTGCAGCCGGCTTAGCTTTGGGTTTCGCGGCCACGGCGGCGGTTTTGGCTTTCGGCTTGGGTTTGGAGACAGCCGTCTTCTTCTCCTTGGTACCGGCAGCTTTGGCCTTCGGTTTCAGGGCGGAAACAGAAACGGACTTCTTCGTCTTCTTCACCGGCGAGGATGGCTTGGCCGAGCGAGCGGCCGGAAGCTTGAAGGAGCTCTTCACCTTCACGAGCTTGTCGCTGGCCACGAGCTTCTTCAGCTGGAGGAGCAGGACCTTCCTGAAATTGGCCGGAAGGTTCTTCTGTTTCTCCTCAATGAACTTCGCGATGGCGGGCTGGCTGGAACCCGTGCGGTCCTTCAGCGTCACGATCGCATCCTTAATCATCTGCAAAATCCACCGGAAAATTCAGATCCAACCTCACGACATCCGAAAAAACAATCCAAACAAAATAAGGTGCAGAATCACGGATTTAGTCGGCGATTGATCAATCAATACCTCGAAGTACGGAGGGTGGGTGGGGGCGGTGCGCTTCTTCCGAGCAGGAAGTTTCTTCTCATTCGCCTCCGGCGCCGGTGCTTCCTTGGTCGCCGGATCCTCGGCTGTGAGCGGCTCCGCCGCAGGCACGATCGGGACAACTTGCTCTTCAACGGTGGCCATGGAGGATTTCAAAGACAAAATTAGGGTTTGTGATTGTTTGATTTTTTTCTTTTTAGGAATTTGGGTGAAATGTAACGGAAAACGTGGGTGGATTTAAATAGCTGAGATCGAGTGCTGTTATTGTGAAGACGATTGCTGATTGGTCGAAGAACAAGTGACGCGGATCGAGTAAAAAGGATGAGGTTTAAACAGTGACCCTTGGATGGGATTTTAATCTACGGTGGTGGGCGTTTTCGTGATTGAGGACATGGATTGAGAGGTGTTGTATTATAGAGTTAGAATGGGTTTCCTTTTTGGGTGTGTTTTTTGAGTTTGATTCATTGGGTGATGAGTTGAGCTGCATTTTACGGATATCGATGAAATAATAGTTCCTCTCATTGGGGGTTTCGTAAGCTTTCTAACGAATGTTTGTTTGCTCGATTATGTGGAATGGATCGAGAGATATTGAGTTCAGAAGGTTGGATGGTCGGTGTATAAGGTTATGCAAATCGTGTTTTGGTTTTTGAGCATTATATGATGTGATTGGAACATAATGATACTTTGAATATTGTACGTAATGACCGGTAAGTTTGCGAGTCTATGTGTTCAATCATCATTGAAATCGAACATCATTTAGCAATGAAAATATAGATTTGAAATGAACTGTAGATGAACACAGAAAAGTGAGTTTATATACAAGCAAAATAGGTAAAATATGCAATTTATTTTCTCGAACGATTTTGTATCAAATGAAATCTTCATGCATCAATCTTCTAGTGACAATATAACAAATCAAAACAAAAAGTATACACGATGCTTACGCATTTCCTACAATACTTTTAAATATTTAAAGTTCGAAATCACTTCAAAGAGTCTACATGATATCTACGTATTTGGTACAATACTTTTAAGCATTTAAAGTTTGAATTCATCTGTCTCAATACATGTTATGTAGCTTTACCACCATTTTTACAATGATACATCATACTTTTTTTATTGTAAGTGGTAGTAATATGATAATTGTCATTGGTTTACTTAGATAGACTAATACAGTCATAAAATAATATTTTTCAACTTATTGTATCATCTACCGATAAAAACAATGATTATCCATTTATTTCGTTTATATTTCTCCTCGTCACTCACATAATCAAATTGTCAATAAAATCATCAAATTTTTAACTATTACACATTTGTCTATAAATTTTACTATCTATCCAATCACATTCATACTATCATTTATCATTTTACTATTTTCATACTACGTAAAAATTATTTAATATTATTTACATTGCACCACATTCATACTGCTCCTAGCTACTCTTCAAACGCCAATTTAATGCCAGTAATATAAATTAGGAGGTGATTTTAGCCTATTACACTTCCAAGATATTTTCTCATTGATCAATCGACATTCATTTTTATATGCGTGTTGTTCTAACGGTAAAAATTTGATGACTACAGTGTAGTCACCAATTGGATCAAATGAATCTATAAAATGCTAACGAATTACAAGTAATCATTTGTTGAATCTATTTATTCACCATCGAACATCTAATATTTACTCGACAACTTAATTCTCTTAAGACAAATGTTGGAGTTGGGCCGCCTAATCATTGAACAAATCGTACTTTCGAACAATAAAGTGTAATGTGATGGATATTATATTTTTGTTTATATTGTAATCTAAAGTATGTGAATTTTAAGTTTTATTATATTTATTTTATTGAAAAATATCACGTAGAGAGCATGTTGTTTTCTTAAATTCGTGACTAATAACCTACTAACCTTATTATTGTCATCTCCACAGTTTTGTTGTTGGTGTCTTTGTGAACCTTCTTCAGCTCGTCTCTAACATGTTCGCCTATCATTTAAGTTTGCAAGCCTTAAAAAAACACATAATTGTATGAAGAATAAGTATCTACATGTAAATAATAGATTACTTGAAAAACACAAAACACAAAGTTTAAATAACACTATTAATTACTCATCTATTATGTTCGAATTATCCCACAATATGATTTTCTTCTTTGACCACATGGTACTTGCTAGTTGATACTAAAGTCCTTATATGTATTTTTTTATTTTTTTTACATCCCAAAATGGTGGCATTTATTTTATTTTATTTTTTTTTTTTTTTTGGACAATAAAACTGTTGATGGTAGGATTCGATCAATGACTAAATAAGGATTTCGTAGTGCTAAAGATAAGAACTAAATTAGATGTATGGAAATAATAGGTTTTTTATATTAACTAGTGCATGGCCCGTGCAATGCACGGGAAACAATATTACGATTGTGTTATAAATTAAATATACAAATAAATTAATCAAGATTTACACATCGTTTTAAAATTAAACCATGTTGGACACAGTCTGACCGGATGGACCGAGAACCAGTTTATAATCAGTCTAGTTCACTTGAATAAAATATTTGTTGTTGAATCCGTCAACACCAGTCGGTTGAACTGGTAGGATCGATACGATTCTCTAAATAAATTTGTCTATATTTAAATTATTTTAATAGAATTAAATAAAATAGAGATTTATAAATTGTTAATTTAAATATTTGAATTTTTAAAATTTTTAGATATTTAAGTCACACATTTTATTCAAATTTATTACGAAAAGTACCATATATATATATATATGTGTATATATATATATACATATATATATATATATTAAAGCGTATTTTTAAAGAAAAAAATAAATTGTATAATTTTTATAAATTAAATTGTATAATTGAATTATATGATTATATTAAAGCGTATTTATAAATTAAATAGTATGATTTTTAAAATAAATAAAAATAAAAATAAAACTACTATTTATGGGTTGCATTAAATGCTGGCCTATTCTTTTGCTACTAATTTTAGTAAATATGATAGCTTTTTATATAAGTATAGATTACGAGGTCGACCTCTGATATTGAGGTCGGCACTTTAGTTACACTTTAAGTATTCACGAAAAATTATTACAGAGTGAGAGGAGTAGTTGCAGAGAGAGAATTAGTTCGTAGGGACTTCAACAACCCATAAGAAATGAAATGAGTTGTTTTTTTTATAGTATCCTTAAATTCGACACTGTTCATCCTGTCTTCTCGCACAGTGACTCTGAGGGACAGGTCGGCGCCGCTGTGACAGATATTAAATGCGATTTGAGGTTTCTTTAATCATTATCTGTTAGACATTAAATGTACGCGTGAGACATTTAATGCTGACATGCCTTTCTGCTGGGCTAGATACCATAAGATGGTAGACTAGGATGACTTGTCGACAATCATTAATAGACAAATGGCAATATATTATTAATTCATGGCCTACGCCCATCTGGAGACCGTTCTCGTGGAAACTTCAGGTTGGACTTTCACCCTTATTTTATCCCCTGGTCTTAAGGATCATGTTTCTCTACTCGGCACCTACGGAGGTCTGTATCGATGCAGTTTTGTCGTGATGTCGATCTCAAAACTCATGCGGTCTATTGTTCTCGTCAACTTTGTCTTTTTGTCAGCTCGGCACTTCGTTGTCAACCCCCGGTCCGGGTTTTAAGACCGTCTTCTCTCGGTTCCTTGTCGTTGAATCGTGAGGTCGGCTAATTCGGATATCAACAAGAAGTTTTATAGACATAACACAAGAGTACAATCAATAAACAATTCAACAGACGAAGAAAGCAGTTAAAAGAGCTTAATTTAATGAGTAGACAGATCCGACGATCGCCTAGAAAAACACACCCACCAACTAACACAAAAGCGAACAAACTCTGACATTGGAGAATAAAAACTCTCATAGGGGAAAATAAACACTCCCAGAAGGAACAATAATACAAACACAGTGGCATACAACACACAGTAGCTAGACTAAAGTCATTCCCTCAGTCGTCAAGCCAGTTCGAGCGAAACACGACGACGACACCCACGACCGATCACCGGATCGAGCCACGACTCAAGCTACAATCCAAAAACTGCCGAAAGGACCTAATTGGAGCTGAAACAAAGAACTCTACCCCACGCCCAAATAGACGACCCCAAACCTGTAATTGAGGGATCACCAAACACTCCCCCCCCCCCATACCACCACACACACCATCACCACCGACACCACTAGTCTATCCCATACCCACGAACCGGACACCACTAGTCTATCCCATACCCACGAACCGGAACCCAGCCACGCCGCCCGCCCTTCCACCCAAACATCAAGGGAGCATGAGACATGGGGGAGAAAGCACTTCGACCCTCCGCCCGACTATCGCCACTAGTGCAATTGGAGCAGCAACCCAACCCCCGAAGAAGATCCAAAACCGCCATCGCCTCAACCTCTTGGAAAATTTACGATGAAATCCACTCGAGTACAACCTCCGACTCCGACGGCACAAAGACGGGCACAAGCTACGAAAAAGATATTTAGTACTTTTGTTATAAATAAATAATACATATAAACTCGAACATTTTTTAGTTTAAATGTAACTTATTGTGTTTCATAATTTTCATATGTCGAATTCCAGTGCTTGTTCTCGTAATTTCATGGAGCTTGTCCTTTGTGTCAATGTGCAAAGGCTTCCTCAGTTGCATAATCATATGATTATGACTATGCCTGTAAACGAGCTCAGAGTGCTCGAGCCCTTAACGAGTCAGAAATTGAGCTCGAGCTCGACTCGTTTATCACAAGTAACTAGCCAAGTTTGAACCTTAACGTGCCGATATCGAACTTTAACGAGTCGAACTATAGAAAATCATATAAAATTCTCTTTTCCAGTCTTAACGAGCCAAGCCGAGTTCAACTCTTTGACCAAACGAGTTTTAAATGAGCTTGAGCTTCGCTCGTTAAGGCCTCGAGCTCAAGCCTTAACGAGCTGAGCCAAACTCGTAGAATTTAACAACATTAATTCTGACATATAATATGCTAAAGATATCTGAAAAAAAAAAAAAATTCAATAGGTGGAAAACTCCAAATATCAGAAACAAAAGTCACCCTAACAATGGAAATCCTATCCTTACAATCAACAACCCCCAAATCTTGGCTTTAATTCTTCAAACCAGAAAACCCAAAATTCAAAAATAACAATAACCCAACATACAAGCAAGACCCCCTTATGACATAAACACAAGCAACATGTATGTACACAAGAAAAATCATATAAGCTAGTTAAGAACAAAGGGTCTAAGAATTTAGGTTGGACACAATCCTTGATATAAGCTTTTGACCGAATTCATGTGTTGGCTGATTGTGAAGCCAATCTCGGATGGTTATGTTCGCCTTCATAAGTGACGATGAGCATCGAGGGCTCCTCTAAGCACCTCTCCACATGCTTCCTCGCGGGGCAGCCTCTCATACTACTACATTTATAATATCCTCTGCACAAAATCAAATTCACAAGAAAAATAATCAATTCGTGGAGCTAACAAAGATACGGTAAAAAAGGGGACTGTAGTTCTGTATACAAATTGAAAGGAATAGAGACTTCTTGCTAGAAATTACTATTGAGGCATAAATCAGTAGCTGATAAATGATACTAAGAAAACACACATACAATCCCAACAGTGAAGGAAAGAACGAGAGTATTAAATTAATAATATAACTCATATTTTTGAGAAGGTACAGCTTCGTAGAATCCCAAAGATGTTTCTGCAAACATATGGAAAAAGGTGACTACTTAGTTTGCTTTATGATTATAGTGATTTTTGAATGCCATTTGTTGCTTCTAATTCTGCAGAGCTTAATGGATGATGGGTGCTCCGACATTTTATCATTATGCTACTTGATTAATTTCTACCTACAAGTTTTCAAAAACATATTCAAGTTTAAACTCTTTTAATCCATGATTTGTTTGCAAACACTACCGATTGGCTAAATTTCCCAGCACTGTACTTCTTGCTTCTACTGAGGTAAATCACTTCAATGAAATTAGAATTTCTTACACACTGCAAGAAAATCAGTTGAAAAGCGAAAAGTTATCAATCCATACCTCGGATGAGGTGAACCTTTGATTGGTTTCTGACCATATTTTCTCCACGAGTACTCGTCTGGCGGTATATCAGCTAATTTGTTACTTATGGCAGGCACTTTGATAGACCTCTTCACTCTGTGCTTCCTGCACACAGCAAATACACAACAAAGATTTTAAAAAAAAAAAAACAAAAGCATAGTCAATGCCAACAATACTAATCATTTATGATTCACCCTATCGTTCTCCAATCTACACACAACAAGCACAACAAAAAAAAAAGCACCAACCTTTTCTTCGAACAATGGCATCTACTGTTGCCCCCACACTTGACACTCCCGGAACACCTCCTCTTGTGATGGAACGAGCCGTGATCCACCGAGCGTGCGGGCCCCACCAGACGAAACCCGTTACTGTCGAAATTCGCCACACTCCCTTCCATACTCAACGACGAGATGAACGACCTGGCGGATGACATGGCGGGCGTGGTGCAGGTGGTGGACCCGTCGAAATTGAGGCTAACCCCCCCACTGCTACTGCTTCGCCTGTAGAAGTGATGATAGCTCGAAAGACTCGGTTTCTGGTGGGAAAGGTGAAGGTCCAGAGAAGGGGTTTCCAGAGAGAGGTCATGGTTGATCTTAACGAGACTGAGGGGGTTCGGGATTTGGTGATAACCGTCGGTTTTGCTGATTGGATTTTCGAGACAGATGCTCTGGGGAAAAGGAGTTTGGATTTTCTTGCTTTTTCTGACTCGGGCGTGGCCACAGGGGGAGCCGAGAAGGGAGATGACCCGTCTGAACTTCTGAACGGCTTGGCCCGTCTGGTCGGATAGGGTTCTGAGCTGGTTTTGATCGTGCGGTTGGGATAGAATGGAGATTACACGGTGGCAGCTTTCTATGGCGGCGAAATTCGCCCTTTCCACTTCCTCCATTGGATTTTTGGGATAGATTCAATCTCCTTCTGGCCAAGAAAAAGGTTAATGTTACAGAAGGAAACCCCTAAATTCCCAATTTTCGGCATTACATGGGAGGATAAACTGAGAAGAGGATCCAAGAGCTCAAAATCAAAATACAGACAAATGCCACTCTTGATAAGAACCATTCCAAGGCAGAAAAAAAAAATAAAAAAAAAATAACAACAACAAATAGACACGAGTTTGGCTACAATAATCCAGCGATATTCAAACGAAGCTCAGCAAGAGAAGAAAAGGGCAAATTGGGGGAAAAAAAGGAGATCCATTTCTGGAGCCCATTTAAAATCAAAACCAGATTCAAGCTATAAACCAAACCAACAGCCAGATAGGAACACAGAGCAGAAGCTTCGAGCTGAGCATGAACAAAAATTAAGCGAAGAAAATAAGAAACTCTTAAATAAAGGGACCTCAGTTTTAGTGGGTACCTTTGGAGGAAACAAAAATGGCGTCGATTGAAACCCTAGATTCTTGCAATCACCATTGCTGTGTGCCCATCAGAGAAAATGGATTGAATCTTGAAAGGTGCGAAAGAGAATACTTTGCTTTGCCGTTGCTTTCTGCAGGGAAATCGACACAGCCCCACCATTTTTTTCTTCCATCTTTTTTCAACTACAGATTTGAAATCCTTCGATTATCTATAATCGCACAACAAATTTATTACCATTGTTGTAGTACTGTGAAAAAAACAGTAACAAATTGCTGTATTTGTTCAAGTGATAGAGAAAGAGAGGAGCATTTATTAAAAGAAAACCTGGGCAGGGGATGCTCAGAAGTGAAGCTGCCGTCTCTGTGCTGCAGATTTCAAAGTGGGGTCCACCTTGGACTTTTTTTTTTCTTTTTTTTTTCTTTTTACTTTTTTATTTGATTTTATTTTTAAAAATTATTTTGTGTGAGAAGTACTACGTTCGTTGTAGAACTATTCTGTTGGGTTTGTAATTGTTATATTATCATGTAATTGTCGAGGATAGTTGATCTAACGGCTATAAATTCGAACGTAATGTTTTCATAACGGGACCGTAGTATCTTCCATTTTGTTTTACTCTATTTTTTTGACAAGGTAATTAATTTTAGATTACAAGATTCTTTTTCAATATTATTACACGTAATATTTTTAAAAAATACACAATAATTTGTATTAAGCACTTAACAATTTCAAATACTTTTCAGCAAATTGAAAGAAAAATAGCTTATAAACAGATGAAATACTTTTCAAAATATTACTAAATAAAAAAATATTATCAATATAACACAATATTAGCAATTTACTTTTAAACAAAATAATTTCGCGGCCTCCAAATTTTTTAAACTAATTTTGTGTGTTTTTTTTTCCCCTTTGAAATGGAAACTTTTACCCTGTGCTTTTAAGTCATAAAGTGGCTAGCTATAACTTGTTAGCTAAAAAAAAACCATAAACAGTTAGTTGATAGCGTAATAATAATTAATTTGAATGGCGAGCATATAAGACCATCTCCAATGCTGCATTCGAGTAGCGTTTATCTTTAGAGATTTGGCAAAATCTCGGCAAAATTATAATTTTAGTTTTGTTGTTTTGATTTAGTTGCGTTTTTAGTAGTATGAATTTAATATTTTTGCTATTTGGTCCTATAATTTTAGAATTCAACACAATTTCAGTCATTTAGGACTGAAAATGCAACGAAATTTAAACTTACAGAACTTAGATTGTTAATTAAAAAATCTTTAGATTTTTTATATTTTTATTAGCAATTTAAATTCTGTAAATTTAAATTTTGTTGCATTTTTAGTCCAAAATGACTGAAGTTGCAGCAAAATACTAAATTACATAATCGAAAGACAAAAAGTTGAAAACTTGGGACAAAAAATGCTACAGCGTTAAACCAGCATGACTAAAAATACAATTTTGTCTTATTTTTATATCATTTGGCTAACATCCAAATATAAAATACCTTATTTAACACTGATATAAATAAATTATGATGTAACATATATCTCATTTTTATTATTAAAAAACACACACACACATACACACACACACCAAATGTTAGATTATTAAATATAGTACTAGTATCAATACCATGTACAACACGGGTGTTGAGTTAATGAATATATGTGTAAAGTTATTTATGTTTAATACCAAACCCAATTCCAGAGCAAAAATAATATATAAACAACATCACGAAGCATAGATGTTCGCCATGTCAGCATCCGGAGCGTGAGAATCTGCCACCTACGCTCAACACGTTTTGAATTGAAAACAAAAATATCGTAATCACTTGCATATGAAACAACCTAAAAAACTAAACACTATTAAGTAATTTAATCACTTCATCAGTTCATCCTACTTTAGGACTGATTACTTCAGCATACTAGCTAAATAAATCAATAACACAAATTAATTAAAATAAATAAAAAAAGGATTAGGAGATAAGTCTTTGCTTAAAGTCAAATAAATAGTGGAGATACCATTGAATTTTGGTTATCCCATCTAATCCCATATGATATCACGCACCTGCGCCATTATCAGCTAAATAACAGCTAATAATAATAATAATAATAATAATCACTTTCTAAATGCATGATTATGTTGATAACAAAGCATTTGACTATAGACTATATAATCCCGTGCATTGTCACATGAATATTTCATAATTTTTCGTCTTATATTTCTAGTTGAACTATGACTTTGCTTGATCGACTTTTTAATTATCGAATTAAAATAACTATAAAGAGTTGACTAATTTGGACTTTGTTGGCCATGTGTTATTGAATAGCGTTGAAAAAAATGTGATTAGGCACATGGGAACGTGATTAAAGTTTCTAATCATGCGTGCATGCGGTGAGATTTGTGATTATTTGAGAAGTATGCTCATCGTTTATGTGGCATGCACACATTGGTGATGTTAATATATTCAAAAAAATACCTCACCAATGCGTGCATTTCACATAAACTGTAGACATATAAATAATTCAAATAAATACACGAAAAAATTTAAAACCTAGATAAGGAAAAAAATAATAGTAAAAGACTAGTGAGAATCCCGTGCGATGCACGGAGATTTCGAAATGTAAAATATTTTTTTAAAACTTTATTTTAACAATGTATTAGCCCGTTGATCGTCTATTTTAATATAAATACTATTTTAACATATATATTTATTTTTTAATACAAAAGAATAATAATTTTACAATTTCATAATACTCAAATATTATTTTTATTCAAAAACTTATTGTCGTATAATGTCAATGTTATTTATAATATTTATAGAAGTAATATTGCTTTTTTATATAATGATAAATATTTAATGTATATTAATATTATTTATTGGTGTGATTAATTTAAAAATATATAAGTAAATCTAATGTTTGTTAGGAAAGTGATAGTTCTCGATATTTTAGGTACAAATATATGATATATATGTATAAATATAAGATATGAATATCTTGAGATACAAAAGAAATTTTTATGTGCTTTATTACCTTAATTAATCAGTCGAAATTACCTAAATTGTATCTTTAAAATATACCATAAAATATTTAAATAATTTTTAAAATTAGTAAACAACATTTTTTTGGGAAATAGTTACTATTTAAACAATAATCAAACATTTTTATATATACTATGGTCACTAATGAGAGAGTTTACAAAATGAGGGGTTCAAATGTTAATTTCCACAAACATAAAACCACCGTCACAGTAGAGGGCGCCAAATCAAACCCCCATCCACCGCCGGTCTCCGTCGACAAAATTCGCCGTATTACGGTGGAAATTCGCTGTAAATATTCTGAAAGAAGGAAGCACACAAATCAAGAGAGCGAAAATGGAAGGTTCTCGGCCACCGGTATTTAGTGTTCGAATAGTTTCAATTGACTACTACATAGCGCCTCCTATTCCGGGCCTTGGCATTTGTTACAGCTCTTTCCATGGTGAATTCTTTAGTACACAGTTTTTTTTTTGGCTATTTATGTGAAGTTTTCTGCGTCTGGATGCTGTTTGCCGTAAAAAAAAAAAAGAGAAAAATCTATATTGATTTTCGCGTTGAATTTTGGGGGTTTTGAGGCTCTGTGAGAATTGAAATTGCTATGTGCAGGTGGGAAGGTGAACGAGGTTCCTGTTATAAGAATATATGGGTCAACGCCGGCTGGGCAGAAAACTTGTTTGCACGTACATAGAGTATGTTTTTGCTGCTCGAATGTTTGTTTGTTTGGGGTTTTTCCTGTTTATTTGTCTTGTGTATAGATGAATCTGTATTCTGTATGCATGAACTTGGAATTTTACTGAAAGATTTGGATATCGGGTTGTTTGTTTGGTTTTACTTTGTTGACATTTGGGTCTGAGGTGTAAAGAAAGTAAGTGATTGTTCTAAATGTAAATTTAGGCTTATAATTAGTCCAGAGGTTATCTATTCTTGATAAGATACGTGTTTTCAATCTGTTCACGTATGAGTTGATACTCGTGTGTTGATTCTCACGACAAATTTCTATTAAGAAACAAAACTGGTTGCAAATTTAAAGGTAAAGTTGGACTGTGATAAAGCCGACTAAAGAGTAGTTTGGCCCTCCGTTGATCACCTTGGAGATACTTAGATGTTCTGTTGGACAGAGCTCCAACATTCTCTGACCTCTTTGTACGATTGTATCTGGTTAATTAATTGAAAGTGGTGCTGTGATAGTTTTCTGGTGGCAAGCCCAAATAATCAAAATTTACACTTTCAACGCTTTTTAATGTAGCAGTTATTTATTAGCTCATATAAGATAAATATCTATGGGATTTAATCCAAGAAAACAGAAGTTAATTACAAAATAAAAATTTAAGACAAGACAATTGCTGAGTATCTCTGTACCAGCTCCTTTTCTTTTAAAGCCTAAGTTTACCCTATCTCAGCTGGCAGCTCAAATTTTAATAACTAAGATATCTTGCCATACTTCCCCATCCATTTGTAATATGTCGTCTAAGTTTTTTCTCCAGAAAACTGTGGGAGGAATTTTCAACATTATGCATTCTCTATACCTTGCTTCGATAACTTTGTATGATATATTGTGGGCTTTGATGGGAGTTTGCATTTGGTTGGCCAAGCTTGATCTGCCTTGGTTATTTACAGGTTTTACCTTACCTTTACGTACCCTGCTCTGATCTGGGCTCCATACAAAATGATGAAGGTACTATTCTGTGGACTTCTGTATGTAGTATAGATCATCGTCCTTTTCGTTTTTTTTTTCTTTTTTCTTTTTATTGTTTCTGTTATAACTGATTCATTGACTCAAAGACACACACACACACACACACAACAACAACAACAACAAAAAATTCCCTTCTCAGCATGCCTTTTTAGCCACGTAGACATGTTAATATACATGGAGAAAGAACTGGTTGATGGAAATCATTTCTGTACTTCTCTTCTCATGATTTAGATTAGTTATATATATTTACTTGTGATTCGCCAAGTTGGGGAATGCTAATTTTTTTTTGTAAGACATCTGGTTGTTGTTAGCCAGAGAAAGATCATACAGCTATAGTTGCGAATAAGCTTTATGATCCAGGCATCAGCCAGCTAATGTTCGTTAATTATTTTGAAATTTTAGTTTTTAGTAACTCACTTTGGCTGTCATGAGAAAAGATGGGGCCTTACCAAACAACAAAAGTTTTATAAGTTTTCTACACCTCATGTTTTCCATTGATATGGATAATTAACAACTGAAAAAAAAGACTTTTTCTGGTATCTTGGAGGTACTGGGTGCATCTCCAACCCATTCCTTTCACTACCTCAATTGCCAATCCCATTTTCTCAGCTAAATTTTACTGTGCAAGCAGATCTTTGACCTTAGCCTTCATTTTCTTGTATTTCATCAGACATGTTTGTATAATCTTTTTGTATAAAAAAATGAACTTAACTTGGTTTGGTTCAAACCTAATAATCTTGTTCCGTGTTTGTAACAGTTGATTCATGCAAAGGCTCTATTTCCCTTGCCCTTGAGAAGGCTTTGAAGGTATCATTGCTTAGATGTTAACAATTTGTTTTGCTAATAGCCTGTCAATTTAGTGTAACATATATTGCGTTCTTGACATTCAACAGCTTAAAGGTAATGCTGGCTCAAAGCGTCAGCATGTGCACGGTTGTGATATTGTACAGGCAAAGAAGTTCTATGGCTATCATTCTTCAGAGGAGTTGTTCCTGAAGATTTATCTGTATCCTTATGCTTGGTTATTCTCGTTCAGGACCTGCTTAAGATAAGTCTATAATTAATAATTTAAACAACTAATTAGCACGAATTGTTGAAGCTGAAATGAACCTTGTTTCCGGCTTGTGGCTCTAGAAATCCCAGTTGCTGAATATTTGCTAGTCTGTGTTTCTGACAAGCAACATTACTGATATCATCATCATTGTTCATTGTTATTTTGCTTAAAGCCCTTGAGTTTTAATACTGCAGTTATTCAATTTATACTTCCTATTTTCAATTCATAGGTGATGGTAACAACGTTTTCTTATTGTGTTTAGAAATTATCTAGTTTGCTGCAGGAGGGATTCAGTAATCAAGTTTTGTGTATTCTGTTTCTTTGACTGATTAACTTGGTTGTCACAGAAATAGATGCTACGAATGCTTAAGACTTTATTCTGATGAAACCTCTGAATGCTACCACATGATTTGTGTGGATAGAGTACACTTGTAGTAGTAGCATAGGACCATAATAGCTGGCTACACCGGTGCAACTGAAAAATTGGTCGCAAGTCCCAGTGCAGTTGGATGTAACAGTCAAAAATCATGTTATACTGGCAAAATATTTGTCTAAATTGTGCATAAATGAAATCATACTAAATAAAGGCTGCTGTTTTGTGTTTAACATTTGCATATCCTCATTTGTGTACATTGCCTGATATTAATGCAATTTTGAATTAATTAACTCTCTCTCTCTCTCTCTCTCTCTCTCTCTCTTTCTCTCCCCACCAATATTGAAAGTTTCCTTGATAGACCTTGACAAACAATCAGCTATAATCCACACGATGTTTCTCGAGCTGCAGATCTTCTTCTGGTAACATGTTCAAGCTTCTTAATTTAACGTGTGTATTAACTAGTTAGTTTGTTGTTTGACAAAATTTTTTGTTTTAAGCTACCAAGTTTGAGTAATAAGTTTATTTTAAAGTTGCAGTACTTCAAATGAAATGATAGTTGGACTATACAAAGTTTGGGTCATAGGCAATTCTTTCTCTTTCCCCCCTTCTCTGTCTATCAGTTGTCGGTATATATATTTCTCCATGATACTTGAGTGGGAGATATCTCTTCAATCAAATATTTTTAGATATCTTACAATTTTAATTGCTGTCCGATCCCAGTTTAATTTTTATTGTAAAACCTATCATTGGTTATCAGCTCCATCTGCTTTCCTTAAATCCATGCTCGGAGGTTAGCTTGCCATTTTTTGATGCTCTGTTTTTTTTGCAGACAGGTGCAATATTGGATAAGACACTACAGCCATATGAATCACATATTCCTTTTCTTCTTCAGTTCTTGGTATGTCTGTCGTTGAATATGTAAGCTATACTGCTCTCTAGCCTATCTTGTTGTCAGCATTTGTATATACAGCCCTTGCATGTGAAGTTATCATCACTATCATCAGTTTTGCCCAAAAGCTGTCGTATGCTAATTGCCCTTTGTCTTTTGGTGTTATTTTTCTTATGGAGCAATCACTTCATTTACCTCTGGGGTTGCCCTTCATTTCTTTGTCACTTTTCCTTATGTTGAAACTTATGTATCATGCTAAGATGTATGATTTGTCTAACTTGAGAAGTCAATATGTTAATTTGGATGAGTTTTTACTTTTTTGACACCAGGTCATTTCTATTTTTACATGATTACCAGATTGACTACAATTTGTATGGAATGGGCCTTTTACATGTTGCAAAAGTGAGGTTTCGCTATCCTGTTCCAGATGTTTTCTCCCAGTGGAAAGGTAAGCACCAGGCCAAACTGAGACGATCCTCAGATGACTCAACTCAAATGGACTTTCAGGTTTCTGTGGTGTTCTATTTTTTTGCCTTTTTTTTTTTCAGAATTCTAACGAGAAGATTTTGTTTAGGATCTGTTAATTTTGTGCTTTCTGTGTATCTTACATAGGATGATTTAGGTGGCGACTTATGTCCGAAAACACCAATATGGATATCATCTACTATTCCAGAAGGGTGGATCGGGCAATGTTCACCTGGACCTGGTTCTTCCATAAATGAAGATATTACACTCCCCAGACGTCAGAGTACCTGTGGGTTGGAGGCAGATGCTGTAGTACAAGGTTTGTTGTTGAGGTCTGAAAGTTAATCTTTTCTCTATTTATTTTTAATAACTAACTTCATGTCATACATTGATTTCAGATGTCATAAATCAGCAGCTTATATCGTATGCATCTCTCTCACAAACGGATTCCGAAGTGAAAATGGTTCAGTCACTAATCCCGATTTGGGAGGTTTGATTTCCCTTACGCGTTCTCCAATGCACACATATTTCAATTGAATGATTCATTGATGTTTTGTTTCTTTCTTATATTAGGAAGAATACGAGAGGAATGGGGTGCCTGAGGCCACACCTTTAGCTTCCCATGGGAAACCACTTCCCCAGGATGTATTGAGAAATCTTTCAGACGGGATTGAGTTTGAAAATCTTGTGGAATTGAGATCTGAAGAAGAAAACCGGCCACTTTTGACTCCAGAATCACTTGAATCTTCTAAAGTTTGTGGAGATTTGGCTGATGTTGCAAATAACAATGATTTGACTTTAAACAATTTAAAGGCAAGTGACAGAGTCGGATCATTATTACTAATAGATTCACCATTTCGCGATGCTGATGCAGCCGGAACTGATGTCATAGATGCGGGTGATGAACTGCAACTATCTGGAACCGAAGGACCATCAACTGCAAAGGTAATTTTAAGGTTTTTTTTAGCTTAATTTGGAGGTGCGCCTGCGTGTTTGAGAG